ATTTTCAACTAATGAATTCCAGGTTCGAATCCTACTGCACTTATTCAAGCCACAATCACTGTGACTCGTAACCGAGTACATGAGCAGTTTATTCCAGCTAAATAAATTTAAGTAAAGGTCGTTAGGTTGTAGTGCGCACATACTAACATTAAGTGGACACCTAAATGTATGCAGATGAAAAGAATTTCAATTTCTCTTCTAGTCTTTCATTGATAATACTAGGCTTTGACGTAATGACTGATAAGCAATATGTCTTGACCGTGAACTTTATCGTTTTTCACTTGAGTGAGGTGTCAACTGCTCACGGCTGGATATTTATTAATCTGTAACGACAGAAGGCAAGAGTCAGGCAACAGATCATTTATTAAGGAAATCAACGCATATTTATATATTTTCATGTACATTACTATGGATATTTAAACAAACAAACACAGTCTTCCGATTGGTTGCTTCTCACGTAAAGTTAATCTTTCATCTATTTGTGACTGTTTCTTGAATGTCAAATCCTCTATATGTTAACTGCATCCGCCTACGCAAAGTCTGCTGTGATCGGTTTTGAATCAATCTTTGTTCACATTTTCTCACGATAAATCTTGGGAACGTAAATATTGACGTAAATTACTGTCTACCAATTTGGCTAATAGACAGCTCTCACCACAAATCTACCTCTGGTTTTCGATACTGACATGGTACCCTACTGAACAAGCTACTATATACACCATCAGATAACCATACTTCAGTCGCTTAGGTCTATGACTAGTTGCCATGTCCAGTTTGCCAAGTACATTTTTTTAGTATTTTTGGCTGAACGTGTTGATTTACTTCATAAAGACTTCACTTCATTATGATTTTGTCTAAAAAACCCCACATGCCTATACCTAGAAATATTTATTCTAAATGTATAGTAATCGATATAATATAATTTTGAAAAAAACTCTTAATAAATCTCCCAGCAATCTCATATTAGCAGAAAATCCATTGAACCATTTAATTGTGTGTATTTGCATTAAAACAATCAAAATTATTCAGTCGTAAAAATCACTCTCATATATACAAATTAGATAAACTGTATACTATCAACGGAATGAACTATTATTCAAGTAAATAACACCATTGAATCCTTTAAATTTGTTATAAAATGATACGATACATTGTATGTGTGTATGTATTTATTAGTAGCTAAAAGTATCCCTTGACAATAGTTTAAATTCAATTTGTTGTAACACTGTATAAAACAGTCTTTAATTCATTTAAACAAAACAATGGCGTAAAATTCATTTTATGACCTTACTTAATTTAAAAATTACGGTTATTTATATGATATATATATATATATGTATATAAAAGCATACACATCTAATCATTGCGTTCATTACATTACCGGTATAGATAGTCGAATATTTATACATAATAAATACGTCAACTGCATCATTGAATACTCAATTTTGTTTTGGACCGGAAATACATGTAAGTAAGTATGCTATTGTTACTTTCATGTTATCAATAGCATATCAAAGGTGAAGAAAACACAGTCGCAAATGGGTAACTTATTATGACCCTAAATCACGCGGACTTACACATATGCATATACACGTATATGCATTAAATTTCACGTCAACACAGTTTGTACTATAACAATAATAATAGTAATATTAATACTTGAGGATGAAGTGTAGACATTAAAATATTCAATTTTATAAAATTAATTTGGCCAGAGTTTTAAAATGTGGTATGTTCATAACCGTTAAACATTGATCAGTTTGACAACTTTCTTTATTTTTCAGTTCTGTTTAATGAATACAAGGAATAACAAAGGAAAACTGAGATCTTGTCTTAACTTTTAAACTGATTAACTGGATTGAATATTCATCTCATGTTTCACCGAGATTAGTTAGAGAACCACTGAAAATCAGTGATTGCTGGATTGTCGCTTTATCCCTGTTTGGGACTCTTCAGTAGTACACACCCATCAGTAATCGAACCTGACACCTTCAGGTTAAAAGCCAAAGATATTTGACCATTTAGCCAGTGGGGTGGACCAACCAGCACTTGGAGATTAATCTATCATGCCTTGGTTACTGACTGCACAATAAAGTTGCCTGGAGTTCTAGTAGAGATTAGTGACCAAAGGAGTTGACCAAGTTGGATGTGAGGACAAATATTCATTGATGACATTGGCTAGTAATGGAGCTATACATCACGAATCGACATAAATTAAAATTGATGGTCCATTGGCTACGTCCCAGTGGTTGAATGGTCTCCTTGTAACATGAACGTCCTGAGTTCAACTCCTGGTGGAGTCATGAGTGTGTTCTGTCGAGTAGTCCCAAAGAAGGATAAAACAGGTTCCAGTACTCTCTGGTTTTCAGTGGTTCCCCGAACTGAAATCACTTTATGATTAATCTCGAAATTAACCGATTTTGTCTTATGAATTAGTAACAGAAAAAATAACTAGTATTCCGCTAAATAAAGAATGTTTATTTTAGTTTAATGATCTATAAGATGGCACTGCCGGGTTCAAAATGAAATAATAACCTGACTGATAGAATTCAGTCTGCACCAAAGAGAGGACTAGACACATCACACTAGTTACTAGTGTCTAATCAAAATATCCACTACAGTCCTACAGGAGGTCAATCGTGAGCCCGAATAGCTCAGTGGTAACGTCTCTGACTGCAGCACTGGGTGACGCGGGTTTGAATCCCAAAAGGGACATGAGTTCCTTCAAGGTTGCAGATACGCCTTGATGACGAGTGCCGACTAGCACGAAACCCAGGTCCAACGCTTCCTGCCGATTGCTTCCAACCATCTAATACTACGTTCCATTACTACTACAGATGTTAGCATTCAGGATAGCAGAGCGTATCGCATGGTTTTGCTAATCAATTTTAGGTTCAGACGAATTGCCATCAGGATTAACAGTAAGTGATGAGTATTGATAGCATGTGAATTTCAGCATCAAATGACAATCGCGATTCAGCAATTGAAGTTAAGCGAATGGTTTAATTACTAGTTGTATTGCTACGGCGAAGTTAAGTGTACAAAAATACGCTTTGTAGCAAAAAATGGCTTACGTTTAGCATTATACATTTTATCTGGAAAGTTTGAAGGAATAAGGAGTTTCATAACTACTATAGGTCATAACTACACTTATAGGTCATAAAAGTACCTTCCCTGATGTTTGAGTAGACATATTCACTGGGTAATATGTAAGATGTGTGACATTTTATTCGATTTCACTGAAATAGTGTTTTTCTAATGAGACTGTTCAAATGGCCTCAAAAGCCTGTACTAGGTACGAACTGAATCAATTTCATTTGTGGAACTTGAAATACAGTCGCCTGGATTCAGCTATTAAACATCAAAGAGCGTTTTGTTTGATCCTCCACTTTTGAAGGTAATCGACACGAATCACTTCATCAAATTTTATATACAGTTGTGGCTGGCTGCTGAACGGTTCTTTTTGAGAATAGTCTTGTTCCGGAGTGTGTGAATTACCGTTTTTGTATCTGCTAAGTAGTAAGAGGCCAAACTTCATCAGCCAATTTCCACAAAGTGACCTACGCATATAATTTACCACTGAAAGATCAGGAATACAAATTTCCCTATAAATTCTTGAATAATTTTGTTCTTGAACTAGCAAGTTATGAGGTGTTTTGACACAACCCGCATTAGAAAAATCCGACTTGTCATTATAAAATTGTGACTGTTTTAAAACTTGACATCAATTCAATACTATGATCGATTGATTTACCGACTCAGTAATTATCCTGTCATTGCAATACAAATTCAGGATTAAACAGATCTTCGTTCCAGTCCCTACATTTGCGTTCTTGAAATAAGTGAAATTGATTTTTAATCACTCATTAATTGTTAGTAGAACAATAGTGACACATTTTCGAAAATGCAGTTTCTATTGAAACGTTTTACGGATCTTCACCAAGCTTCAATGGCTAGAGATGCACTAAATGTATAGTATCGCCAAATACATATATGAATCTCCACTTCTCACGTGGAAAGCGCTGATTCTATTCCCAGTCGAAAAGTCAGCTGACTTCAATCTCATCTAGTTCGATAGTAGGTCCTTTGCCGAGAAAAGTGGGTATCTCAGTGATGGGGCTTGCAACTTCACGCCTGCTACTGAAACTTCAAAACACATAGAAAATATCCTCTAATTGATTCAGTAAAACTTCTCATTTTGAGGCCACTTGATGTCAAGGTGTGGAAGCTATTGGGAAGCTTGTCAGCCAATGTATCTTCTTTCGATGAAAGCAAAAGCAAGCATGGGGGGATATTTAAATATTTACAAGATGTTCGAAGACTGCTCTGGCCGAAAAAGAAATAAGATATGGTGTAGAAGTGTCAGGAATCTGTAAATGCAGATGGAACGAATGTGAACTCTGCAAATTGTTAACTACAGAATGTCAATAATCTACTCCCACCATCCAGACAACAACCATGAGGGCATCGAGACTGCGTTTATCATGATGTCATGACCATCATCAAAGGCTGTCAGACAGTGAGAGAGAACCAGTCTCCTTCAAGATCATGACAGCAAGATTCAACTTAAAATCAAGAAAAACTTCTGAAAATAAAAAAAAATTAGAAGAAGAGTATTATCAAGAGTTTTGTTTCAGCCAAACAACCCTCCACTGAGATAGGAACAGTCTTTTTCGACAGTACACAGTAACTGTACTGTGTACATGTTCACTGAGGTAAAACCGTTAGAGTTTTTCAGTATTTCAGTGTTTCGTTGTTCTTTTTCAATTTATTTTGTGTTACCTTTTATGCAACTGATTCTGAAAGTTGTTTGGATTGTCAAATACAAAGGCGCACATTTAAAAACTACTTCACCCAATACAAGTCACTTTTACACCCACTATTTGAAGTATATAGTTACAGACAAAATAAAAAAGTATTCATTTAAAACTACTTTTTCAAATCTTAAAGTTAAGCATAAAATCAAAACTTTTTTGAAGAGATGAGAAGTATTCACTCACCTAAAGTGTTAATTCTTGTAAAGACAGCTCTTAGATTGGTAATGGCTGTTAGATTCATTCTCTCTTTACTGTACTGTGGCCAAGATTCGTGCATTTCACTTGGAGCAGCCATGAAAGCAACCTGTTACAAAGATAATTTTTAGAAAAAATTCTGAAATAGTTATATCATTTTAAAAGTAGCACTTGATAGATGTTTTTAACATAGTTTACGTCTTCGATCAACAGATTGAGTGCTGAGGAGCACTGAGTAGTCATTTTAGGTTTCTTCTTTACATTCAACATGAGTATCTATTCAGATCACACTTTCTTACCAAAGCTTGAGGAAATCCATTGAATCCTCAGAGAGGAAGTTGATATCATAAATTACAGAATTATGGTAGAAACGTGCTGTGATGTTCATTGATGATAATGGCGTTATCTTGACGGAAAATTTGGAATATATGTACTCAGTGAGGTGGAATTAGATATATGCATTACTGAACTAACTGTGTAACAACTGCTACCTATTTATAAGTTTATGAAAATTGCTTTCCAGTTTATGATTCTATAGGACAGGAAATGAAATATTGTGAACATACAAAACGTTCTAATTTTTGGAATGACATAAATGAAATTAAACTAAGTATACTAAGTATTTTTGTTGTTGTATTGATTGGTTACTGGGATGTAATCAGTGTCTGTAATGGAAAAATTGTTTGGAAAATCCTTCCTAAGCGGTCTAATCACAATACTCATACTTATTTGGATGTTTCAACTCACTGTGTAATTATGATCCGTTGTCCCCTCGACTATACATCATTGTTCTGACATTTTCAGATCATATGTCGACTTGATCCTCATTATTTATCTCTGCACTTGTTTTATCTCTAGTTTTATGCTTCTCTTTGTGGTTGTACGATACATTGATAATGTGTTGTTTTAAGATGTGATTTTTGTTTGAGTGAATCAAGGTCATTCTGACATTGGGCTGTCTGTGGGAAGCGTTAGAGTGTGATTCTTGTGGACAGAGTTTTTGATCCCACATTGTTAGGAAAATTCTACTTGATTCTAAGGCACTTCTCACTGTTGAATCTTGGTCAAATAATTTTCTTCTACAGTGTTGGTTTTGCGTCGGTGACACAGCGGTATAGCGCTCGCCGAACACGCATACAATCCGGGGTTCGATCCCCGGCCGACGCATTCCTTTACCTCACTAAACCAGTATTAAGACTGATAAAGTGGGAAGCTTGGGCATGAGGCTAGCAACCCAATCCCGTAAAAATAAACATCACTGCTACAGAAACTCCAAAGCTCTAGCTTGGAGTCCCATGTTCCACTAGGAACGCAAAGGAAATTAAAAAAATATATTTAAAAATTAGTATTTGTTTCGTGCTTAGAAAGGCATATTTTCTGCATAGCTGCCTAACTGCACTTTTAAGGTAATTTTGAGTTTTTGATGTTATTACTGCTGAATAGAACCACACATAAATTCCAATCACAGACAATCGTCCTTTTGTGTTGTCCTTGGGGCATTTTGTGACTGTGCGTTCCTTAAGGAAGTTTCGGACAGCTGCATAGCAGGAGGTAGAGATAGGTTTGCTGAGTTCTGACCACGACTAGTCGTTGTTGGTCGTTATGGTGTCATGTGTCATCTCTTCTGCTCCCAAAAGTCTCAGTGGTACCGGCTCTGTTTGCAGTACCGAGTGACGCAGGTTCAGATTCTAAAGGAGAAGCCATTCATTCAAGTTTGCAGTTACGCCTTCCCGACAAGTACCAGTAAGTACAAAAGGTATGTTCAAGGTTCCCCCCCCCCCAATGGCTTCTAACCAATTAGCACTATTTCAAAGAACTTTCCTATTTCTAGACATTTACAAAACTTCAGTAATTATCATGTTATAATTAGAACATTCCAAAGGCATGAGCTCAGACGCCAAGAAGTTAAAATTTCCATATGATCCAAAGCAATAATTTGCCAATTCTTAACCACCTAAACTATGGTCATCTTTTTGTGAAATGGAATGAAATAAATCAGGCGCTTAGTGTGTAGCAATTGATGGTATGTTGCCTTTTATTGGACTTCTAGACAATAAGGAACTAGCTTCGCAGAGCTGAAAGCATTTCTTTACAGTTTCAAATTTGCCAAACTGACAACAGTCACAATCTAAGAAGCTTGTGTTTAGAACATTTCAAGGAGAGTCGTATCAGCTGCCGTCAATACCAAAATTTAGGTACGTTATCAGAGGATTCGGCTGACAAACAGAATTGAAGTATATCCATATTAAAATTAAGTCAAGTACGAGATTTACTAGAAAGAAGACAACACACTGACTGAAGTATATTTACCTATCAACCAATAGGTTGAAGGCTGAAATGCCACTGCAAAGAATGTCTTGATAACTGGTTAGTCTTACTAGCCCTAACACACTGTTTCACAGCCTGACACACGATAGATATATAATTTTCAAGTATTGGTTTTGTAGGGATTTTGTTTGATTGCATGGAGGATTTTATCATGAGCTGACATCAGTTAGAGAACCACTGAATACCTGGGAGTACTGGACAGCAGGTTGAAGATGAAGCAGTAACTCATCGAAGAAGACATTGCGAAATGGTCGCGCTATGTCGTGAATTGGCAGAAATTAGAATTCAAGGACCATTGGATTGGGTCCCAGTGGCTCAATGGTCTACGAGCTCGCCTTATAACCAGAAGGTCCTGGGTTCGAACCCTGGTGGGTGCGTACTGCTGAATATTCCCAAACTAGGACGGAGGAAACAGCTGTCCAGTACTCCCAGGTTTTCCAGTGGTTCTCTAACTGATGTCAGCTCATGGAGAAATATAATTGTTAAGTGTGTTGTATCCCATTAGAAAGAAAAATTTCACCAGAAATATTACTTCTAAACTTTAACAAAGATAAACAACAAACGGTGTAACATGGGAAGCATTTATTTCACTAGCTATAACACAAAATATTCGATTTGGCAATGTAGTTTCAAGACTGTTCTACTGATTGCACAGATAAATATACTACTAGCTAATATAAGTAGTAAGATATCACTTACATCAACCAGTGGTGTCTGCCAGCCAGATCAAACTAATCTAAACGCAGGTATTTACATAGTTTCGTTCTGGCTACCAAGAGCTAATGGTTGTTACGAGTGGAATCCAACAACTTACAATAGTCACTTAGTAGTATATGCCGTCATTTATTCACCTTTGCTTTCTTGATTGCCATTTATATTATCAAGATTTTTTCTTATTTCTATAAGGAGATCATGACGAGTAATCGCTTAGAACCGTATTATCTGTCGATTTGATTCTTTGTAATATTGATGTACAAAATTGGTCTCAGCTGCTAAAATTTAAGAAATCAGTCAACAGAAATCCATAAACTTATGGTTAACTGTTGATAATACTTATTAACAAGGCGTAGCCGCCAACTGGTTGTCATGGTGACGGCCCTCAACAAGGATAATAGTTGTCGATAATCTGAAGTCCTCGTCATCTATTTTACTTTGTGCATATTGATAATCTTCCAAGCGTACAAACAATTTTTAGAAAAGAATTCATAATTTTCCAAAAATGTGCCTTCTTTTTGTTTCATTTAACCACTAGAAAAATATAAATTGATGTGGAGCGGGTGGTTGGTTGATAAAATTTCTCATTAGAACGCTGCCTAAAGGCTGAAGAAAGCTAGAGAACGGATAAATCTACTGGAAGTAAGTCTTTTTTGCCGACCACCTTTAATTCTTTATCTAAATTGATGGGATTTTTAATCGTTCAGTTTTATTGAATGTAGATTCGCTAATTTGTAGTCGACCGAAGTCAGACTTCACAGGTTTTTAGCGTTCGTTCCAAATACTACTGAAATGCGTGGCAAAATGACTACTGTGTAATTAGATACATACATCTATGAGGCTGACAGAATTTCAGGGATTAGTGAGCAACACAAAACTGTGTGAAATGCTCTACCAGTAGTGGAAAACAAGTTCTACCTACTACAGAAATGCATATTATAACCTTCAAATGATTCAGTGGGTCAGTGGTCTGGGATTCGATCCCCAGCCGATGCACTCCTACACTTCGCCTAAACGGTAAAAAGCCTTGTCAAGAGGGAAGGCTGAGGTGAGGCTAGCAAAGCCATACTGTTTAAATAAATCCGACTTCTACTGAAACTTCAAAGTTCTACTTGAAGCCGTATGTTCCCCTCAGGACTCAATGGGATAAAATAATATTGAATAACCTTGCAACAGAAACTAATCAAGGCTGAATCGATGACAGTGTATTTTTCCAGTTCACCTCCAATCATCAGTTATTTGCTTTAGGTATAGTCTTGCCAATGATGTACTTTTGTTTTAAATTTCATGAAATACATCAGCATAATCAATCTATAATCTACACCGCTTATAAATTAACTCGATATTATCACTTTGGGAATCTTGGAGTTATAGGGAATGTGATGCGGTATCTTCCCTGTTGACCAAATAATGTTGGCTTAAGGTGCTTGTTAGAAGTTTTTTAGGTGTAGTGATTCTCAAGACTTCGGTTTTGGGCCTTGTAACCGCTCATAGGCGCAGTGTTTCCACGTGTTGTGTCGTTCTTTGTCGAAGTTATTGACTTCATCAGTATAGTTACGCATGAATGAGGTCATGATTGATACCCTAATCACAAATACATCATCGTACTTATGCTTTGGTGTTGCACCAATGAATTAAATAATTAAATTTCGTATGTAATCGATAAATTTAATTGAACACATAGAAGAAGAATTAAATAACTACACTGCTTACTTGCTATGAGCGAACTAATTCATGGAGTTAGAAACTTAATGTTTCATAAAATCTAAAATTCAATTAAATCAATATGACCCGTTGCACAAGAGGTGGCTCTTGTGGCCCGAGTGGTCTAGTGGATAACGCTTTGGCGTTTGAAACTATGAGCACTGATTTCGAGCCTCGGTGGGAACATCATCACTCACTCACTTGGGAATGCAGGTACATCCAGATGACGAGTCCCAAATAGGACGAAATGCGCATCCTGGATTCCACTGCTAGTCACCATCCACCAATTAAAGTTTCATAAAATTATTTATAAATTTTCCACCCTTACAAAACTTAATTCCCTTTTCTTATATATAACAATTT